AGTCCCAGCTATTCAGGAGGCTGAGGCAGGAGAATGGCACGAACCCGGGAGGCAAAGCTTGCAGTGAGCTGAGATCACGCCACTGCACTCCAGCCTGGGTGACAGAGCGAGACTCCGTCTCAAAAATTTAAAAAAAAAAAAAAAAAAAGTAAAATATGGGTAGGCAGAGGAACAAAAAGTAAAACAAATAAATAATAAATAATATCTTTAAATAAAGTTTCTAGAATAAGGATATAACGAAGAAAACATTAGCCAGGCATGGTGGCATACACCAGTTGTCCTAGCTAGCTGTTGGGAGGCTGAGGTGGAAGGATCACTTGAGCCCAGGAGTTCAAGACCAGCCTGGGCTGTTGCCTGGGCAACAGAGCAAGAGCTCAACTCTTTTAAAAAAAAAAAAAAAAAAGTGATTTTAGTGTGACAGGAAAAAAAGAGAAAATATTTTTATACAGATGTACAATGTGTTTTAAGCTAATATTACAAAAGAGTCAGAACGTTAAAAAATGTAAAAATTTATAAAGTAAAAAAATTACAGTAAGCTAAGGTTAATTTTTGAAAAAAATAATTTTTTGATTTAGTGCAACCTAAGCTGTACAGTGTTTCTAAAGTCTACAGTAGTGTACAGTAATGCCCTAAGCCTTCGCATTTACTCACCGCTCACTCACTGACGCATCCAGAGCAACTTCCAGTCGCGCAAGCACCATTCATAGTAAGTGTCCTGGTCAGGTGAACCATTTTTTTATTTTTTGTACCGTATTTTTCCTGTACTTTGCTTGTTTAGATATGTTTAGAAACACAAATACTACTGCATTACAATTGCCTATTTATTCAGTACAGTCACATGCTGTACAGTTTTGCAGCTTAGGACCAACAGGTTATATACCATATAGCCTACATGTGCAGTAGGCTATACCAGCCAGGTATGTGTAAGTACATTCTATGATGTTCACACAACAACAAAATCACCTAATGATGCATTTCTCAGTACGTATCGCCAATGTTAAACAACACACGGCTGTATTTTCATCTCTTTTTCTTCACATTGCATGTATGCTTCTTGACATTGCTTAAATTTATAAATCAAGGTCCTATATATACTTATATTACTATCATATTAATGCTAATAATATTCTGTAAACTATTCCATCTTGATTAAGGCCATCAGTGCCCATTAAAAATTTTTTTTAATTGGGTTGAATGCCCTATTCGGTTTGAATTTTACATTCCCACAATGTGTGGCAGCTAATGCTTCTGGCACATCTATTGAGAACATAAAAGTTCTCCTGGAACTAACAAATTACTTTCCTTCCAACACAATTATATAATCTGAGAGTTGAAAAGCACCCTAGAGATTATTCTGTGGTCCAAAATCCCTCCCGATTAAGGAATCTCATCTAAAACTACTCAACTCTGTCCGCAGGAAGGGATGCTAATCTTTAGATTCCCCATGACACAGTGCTGCCGCCATCGTAGGCTCTTTAATACATGCTTTTTGTTGTTTTTAATACACGTTTGTTGAACTGAAGAAATCTAAAATGGACGTATTTCACTCATTTTCTTTTTCTTCCCAGGCTCTAGCTGTAACACCCACTGCATCTGTAATTGAAAGCTTTGCATGATTCCTCTGCTCATTAACCAACATTCAAAAAGAAATTCAATAAAGGAAACTAAATGTTTCAATGCATTAAAGAAACTTCATTTTAACAGTTTAAAATTTTAAGCTCCTGGACTGGCAAAGTGGCTCTTGCCTATAATCCCAGCATTTTGGGAGGCTGAGATGGGAGGATCTCTTAAGCCCAGGAGTTTGACAATAGCCTGGGCAACAAAGGGAGAACCTGTGATATGGTATGGCTCTGTGTCCCCACCCAAATCTCATCTCGCTTTGTAATCCCCACCTGTGGAGGGAAGGACCTGTAATCCCTCCCATGTGTTGAGTGAGGGAAGTAACTGGATCATGGGGAGTTTCCCCCATGTGGTTCTCATGCTAGTGAGTGCTCACGAAATCCAATGGTTTTATAAGTGTTTGGGAATTCCTCCTTCGCTTCTCTTTCTCCTGCTGCCTTGTGAAGAACGTTCTTACTTCCCCTTTGCCTTCCGCCATGATTGTAAGTTTCCTGAGGCTTCCCCAGCCATGTATAACTGTGAGTCAATTAAACCTCTTTCTTTATAAATTACTCAGTCTCAGGTATTTCTTTATAGCAGTGTGAAAATGGACTAATACACCCTGTCTCCACATAAAATTTAAAAATCAACCAGGTATGGTGGTTTGTGCATGTAGTCCCAGCTACTTGGGAGGCTGAGATGGGAGGATTGCTTGAGCACAGGAGGTTGAGGTTGCAGTGAGCCATGATCACACCACTACACTCCAACCTGCGTGACACAGTGAGACCCTGTCTCAAAAAAATAAATAAATAAAGGCCGGGCACGGTGGCTCATGCCTGTAATCCCAGCACTTTGGGAGGCCAAGGCGGGCGGATCACAAGGTCAGGAGATTGAGACCATCCTGGCTAACACGGTGAAATTCCGTCTCTACTACAAATACAAAAAATTAGCCGGGCGTGGTCGCAGGCACCTGTAGTTCCAGCTACTCGGGAGGCTGAGGCAGGAGAATGGCGTGAATCCAGGAGGCAGAGCTTGCAGTGAGCTGAGATCGTGCCACTGCACTCCAGCATGGGAGACAGAGCCAAGACTCCGTCTCAAAAAAAATAAAAAATAAAAAATACAATATAAAAACTAGCCAAGCATTGTGGCAGGCACCTGTAATCCCAGCTACTCAGGAGGCTGAGGCAGGGAGAACTGTTTGAACCCGGGAGGTGGAGGTTGCAGTGAGCTGAGATCAAGCCACTGCACCCCAGCCTGGGTGAAAGAGGAAGACTCCGTCTCAAAATAAATAAATAAATAAATAAATAAATTTTAAAAAATAAAAATGTAAGCTCCGAGAATCGCCTGAACCTGGGAGACAGAGGTTGCAGTGAGCCGAGATCCGGCCACTGCACTCCAGCCTGGGCGACATAGCGAGACTCTGTCTCAAAAAAAAAAAAAAAGAAAAAAAGTAAGCCCTAGAAGGCAAGTCTTATGCCTGGTCTGACTTGTAAGATGCCGTGAGGTAGCCTAAACAGACAAGTAAGCTTTCAACATTAATGTTCCTAATGTCAGTGCATAATAAAACATTTAACAGAAAATGGAAAATTAAGCCTTTGTTAGTTTGCTTATGATCTATAGTTTTCAATTGATCAAAAAGACGTTTTCCATTTCTAGTATGATTTATTATTATTATTTTTAATTTAGAGATGGGGGTCTGTTGGCCAGGTTGGTCTCGAACTCGTGGCCTCACCACCTTGGCCTCCCAAAGTGCTAGAATTACAGGCGTGAGCCACCGCGTCCGGCCTGGTGTGATTTTTCAAAACAAATAGTCTTGCATCATTTGTGCAACTAAACTATACTTATAATTGGGGTGCTCACAGATTTAGGCATACTAGTGTAGTAAGACATGCTATTATGCTAATCAGCTTTCCCTTCAGTTAAGAGCCTGTGATCCCATCTGATTTCCCATAACATGATATGATAATGAAGAGAATAAAGCCTCTGGAGCAGTAAGCACCACGAATAATTTTACTTTACTCAAATATGCATTCCAAAACAGTGTATAATTTACAGCACGGCCCTGGTTAGCTATTACAATGCATCTGTTTTGGGGACTTTTACAATATACAGTAGGATACAAAGCATACGTTTCCAAATCTCCTTTCTTTCTGTTTTGCTGAAAGGGCGCACACATGGGATCCCTTAACAGCATAATTCACTAACTAATTTTCTTCAGGCAGTAATTCAAATTCCCACTTCCTCCTAAATACCTCTGGACAGCAACTCCTGGCAATCCATCTGTCTCTTTCGCCACAGCTTCTTTTCATAACTAACGGGTCAAGTTCCTTTCCCCATTTCGACACCATGCACTGTACTGCGGCCCTGCCACCATAGCCCACTGCTGAATGCTGGAGTATAACATATTGGATTTCACTGTCCTTCACTGTTTGCAGTTTAACTGCCATTTTACCACAATGCACACAAGAGAAATGCATTCCCACAGGCATCTTATGAATTTCCAAAGCAGCTATTCTTTGTGGATTTACAAAACATGTGCTTCTCTGAACTCCCTTCATCACCACAGAAACGGCTTTGGGAAGCCGAGATTTTTGTTTAAAGTACCCTATCTATTATAAAAAGAAACTGATTCTAAAACATTTTTATTTTCCTAGCTAATTTAATTCTAAGGCTCTTCCCACAAGGCAGTGGAGGAACGTCAGAGCAAAAATATTAAATCCTGCTTTTGGTCTTCCCAATTAATATGAAACATTGTCAGCACACAAAGATTATTGTATCAAATGTCCTTTCTTCTCAGACTACACCATAAAGGCTACCCAGCGCACTGTAAAATAAACAGCTGGCTGTGGCTTATGCACAACGCCCTAAATCTTCTGAAGACACCCCCACCCCCACCCCTCGGCTTTGGGCTCACAGACACCTAATCCCTCGGCAAACCCAAAACCTGCCAATGAAGCGCACTATTTCTCTGCCACAAAGGCCGGCCCGCGCCTCGTGCACACCAGCCTCCGCACACATGTGCCTGGCTGACAAATGCGGAGCGGCTCTTCCTGGATCAAAGCCGTTGGCCTGAACCGAAAGCCGCACTCTTCCCAGCCCACTGCCTTCTCCCGCGGCCGCTCTCCCCGGTAACAGGCGGCCGAACCGAAGCGCTCCGGCCGCAAGCCGGTCACCCCCTCCGCCCGGCGCGTCCCGTGCGGCCACACTCAGACCCGCTTCCCCTCAGCCCCAACGTCCTCGGTCCTTCCCCCCTTTTTCGCCTCAGGAAATTCCGTCGGAACATCATTCTGCACCAGCGGGGCGGCCCGGGCACACCCTCCTCCAGCGGCTGCGCCCCTCGCGCCTCCACCCGAAGGGGCCGGAGACCCGGCGACCCCGGCCAGCCCAGCCTGGCGCCTCACCTCCTCCTCGCTCTCGCTGCGGAAACACAGGCATGCGGCCCGCTTCTTGTAGCCGTCGCCGTCGTAGGTGCGGGTCTGGTTCGACTTGAGCTTCATCATCCTCTGGGCCCGGGTGGGGGTGCGGTGCGGGTCGCGGGAGTCGAGGGGTGGGGAGCCCGCTCTGGACGGCCGCGTGCGCGCGCGCCCCCGGCTCGGCCAAGGGAAGCAGGGAGGGGGAGCTTGTCCGCTACACGGCTCCGCCGCTGGCCTGCCGCGGCCGCCTCATTCCCCCCGGCCCAGGTCCCGCGCCGCCGCTGCCACCGTCACGGCTACCGTCTCCGCTGCCGCCAGGGCCGCCGCCCCCTCTGCCACCGCCACCCCCGACGACGACCGCGCCGCCATCTTGGGCGCGATGCGTCAGCGGCGTAAGGCCGCACCGGCCTGCGGGACGACCGCGCGCTCGCAGCGCAGGCCGCGTTCGGGAATCGCGCCCTCCCAATCCGCGCGGCGGAAACCAGCGTCTGAAAGGAGCTGGCCGCGCGACTCCAGGCGGCCGCTACGCCGCCAGCGTAGGCGTAGAACTGGGGGGGCCGCGCGGAAGAAGCCGGGGGAGATAGGGTACCCGCGCAGGACGCCTAGCGGCCGGAGCGGAGACCCAGTGGTCCAGCCTCGCCAGTCAGCGGATGGGGAAGCGGGGACTTGGTCAAGGTCACGCCGCGTCTCCGCGGCCGAGGATGAACCAAGGTCATGCCACCCGCCCCTGGGCCGTGCCTGTCGGTCTCGAAGGGGTTGAGGGGGAAGGTCTGAAGGAAAAGGCAGGATGTAGTTAAAGGCAACGGAAGCTGCAGCTGGAAACACCTGAGATTTGGAACTGCACGGAAACGGGGCGTGGGAGGCGTGTGCACTTTCGTTGATAACCTGAACCTCCGGATGTCTTATGGGCTGGTGCATGTCGCCCATTACGAAGAACAAATACTTATCCTGCAATCCTTTATTGATGCTAAAAGCAATTGCTTCCTCTTACGGTAAACGAGGGCCAGAGAGGAAGACGCGCGCGTGTGTGCGTGTGTTACACGCATAATGTAAATCATAAAACATCATCGTTTCTGGCAATAAATGAGGAGTGTGTGTTGTGGATGTCAAACAGATTCTCCAGAAAAAGATACACGGACAGAAGCTCTCCAGAAAGGAAAACTGGTGTATGACCTGTGAATGTTCTCGGCAACCCAGAACAAAGCTAGTACCATGCAGATGCCCTAAACGTACCAAAAATCCTGTGCAGTGTCTGTGAATTGCTTAATACCCTTTTTGGTTTTTTTACTTTTTTAATTTAATTTTTTGTTGAGATTGGGGGTGGGCCTCATTTTGTTGCCCAGGCTGGTCTGGAATTCGTGGCCTCAAAGCTATCCACCCTGGGGCTTCCAAAGCGCTGCGATTACGATTACTTGTGTGAGCCACTGTGGCCGGCTAATCACCCTTTCTGAATTTGCTTGTATTTAGCATAGTCAAAAAGATCTGGGTTTGAAATCAAATACACCTTGGCTGTAACCTCAATTACATTTTTTTAATGTTCATACCACCTGATTACATCATTTTTTAACTTCTGCAAAATAAAGGTGATAAACCTACTTGGCCCTGGCACATAGTAGGCACTCAGGGCACCCCAAATGCTATTAATAGTTTGTTTGCGTATTAAATATTCCTTTCTTCAAGAAAAGAGAATTAGAGTCCAGTAAATGTTGAATGAATAGATAGCTGGAGGTTTTCTTTTGGTTTCTAATTCTTTACCCTGGCTTTTTTATGGCCATGATTTTGTTTGGGATTTTTTATTCGATTGTTTGTTTTTTGGAGACAGGGTCTTGCTGTGTCTATTAAGGTGGCACATAATCTCAGCTCAACTGCAGCCTAGACCTCGTGGGCTCAAGCAATCCTCCTACCTCAGCCTCCCAAGTAACTGGGACCACAGGCACCTGTCATGCAGCCTGGAGCACTACCACATCCAGCCAACTTTTGTATTTTTTTGTAGAGACAGGGTTTCACCATGTTCCCCAGGCTGGCCTCGAACTCCTGGGCTCAAGCAGTCTGCCTGCCTCAGCCACCCAAAGTACTGGCGTTACAGGCATGAGCCACTGCTCACAGCCTATGGGCATGTTTAGTTTCAAGAGCCAAAAAGATTACCCCCAGATTCCTTGACTGAGTAATAATTACTTTGTCTTTGTTGAGGGAACATTAACCAAGGGATTCTGTCCTTTCCTTGAAGACAATGGGTAAGTAGTACGTTTAAATTTGTTTTAAAAAATTATACTTGGCTGGGTGCAGTGGCTCAAGCCTGTAATCTCAGCACTCTGGGAGGCCAAGGCGGGCGGATCATCTGAGGTCAGGAGTTCGAGACCAGCCTGACCAACACGGTGAAACCCTGTCTCTACTAAAAATACAAAAATTAGCTGGGTATGGTGGCGCGTGCCTGTAATCCCAGCTACTCGGAAGGCTGAGGCAGGAGAGTCGGTTGAACCTGGGAGGCGGAGGTTGCAGTGAGCCAAGATCATGCCATTGCACTCCAGCCTGGGCAACAGAGCGAAACTCTGTCTGGAAAAAAAAAATTATAGTTAACATTATTCCACTTAAATACCTCTCCAGAAGTCCTACAAGAAGCCAGGGCGTGGTAGTAGTTGCCTGTAAGTCCCAACTACTCAGGAGGCTGAGACAGGGTGATCACTTGAGTCCAGGAGTTCAAAGCTACAGTGAGCCATGATCATGCCACTACTGCACTCCAGCCTGGGGGACAGAGTAAGACACTGTTTCTTAAAAACAAAAAAAGTCACATGAGAAAACACCAATAGGTTATTTATTCATTTTGCTAAGCCAGAAACTTGGGAGGTATTGTCTTTTTTGTTTTCAGACAGAGTCTCACTCTGTCTCCCAGGCTAGAGTGCAGTGCAGTGGCACAACCTTGGCTCACTGCAACCTCCACCTCCCAGGTTCGAGCAATTCTCCTGCTTCAGCCTCCCAGAGTAACTGGGATTACAGGTGTGTGCCACTATGCGTGGCTGATTTTTGTATTTTTTTAGTAGACACGGGTTTTCACCATGTTGGCCAGGCTGGTCTCGAACTCCTGAGCTCAGGTGATCCACCCACCTCAGCCTCCCAAAGTGCTTGGTGTGAGCCACCACGCCCAGCCAACTGGGAGGCGTTGTTGACATGTTCTTTCCCACCATCCAGTTGATAATAAACTTCACTGCTTCTACCTGTCAACATCCTTGGGCCCAGCCCTTTCCTGCCTTGCCCTCTGTCATTCATTACTTCATTGGGACTCTTCCCTCTGAACTGTGACCTTCCATCTGGTCATCTTGGCTCCTGTCCAGTCCTCCTCAGTCCCATCCACCCACTGCAGCAAGAGAAATCCTTCCCAAATGCAAATCTGATTAGGTCAAGCCCTTGATTAAAACACTGCAGTTGTTCCTCAGTGCTTTGAAGACAAAAATTAAAACCCTACCAGAAAATATAAGACTGCAGGAACTAGGTCCCTGCCGACCTCACCCCTCCCTTCATTTCCTATATTCTAGGCATTCAGAAATACCTACAGTTTCTTAAACCTTTAGAGAACCTTCCATATATGCTTTCTCTAGTGTCAAGAAGGCTTTTCTTCCAAGACCATCCCACACTCCATTGTCCTATCCCTTCCTTTCACTCAGAGAGAGGCCAAATCATATTTATCCTTCAAAACTCGAAAGTCACCTCCTCCGGAAAGCTCTCCCTGACTACCTCCGTTCATCCTAGTGGTCTAGGTTTGTCCTGATTAATTATATGGTTATTCTTTTTTACCTTGAGACAAGGTCTCTCTCTGTTACCCAGGCTAGAGTGCAGTGGTGCAATTACGACACACTGCAGCTTCAACCCCTGGTCCCCTACCAGGCTCAAGTGATCCTCCCACCTCAGCCTCTCCAGTAGCTGGGACTGCGGGTACACATTACCATACCCACCTAATTCTTAAATTTTTTCATAGAGACAAGATTTCACTATGTTGCCCAGCTGGTGTTGAGCTCCTGGGCTGAAGCTCTCTGCCCACCTCAGCCTTCCATAGCACTGGGATTACAGGCATGAGCCACTGTGACTGGCCTTATCATACTATTTGTAGCATAGTATTGTCATTGTTTTCTTGATAATCTCCCCTACACTTGTGAAACTTCTTGAAAGCAGAGTCTGTGACTCACTTATCCTTGCTTAGTTCACCCAGCAGTTATCCCAGGGCTTAGCATAAAACAATTGAAAAAATGTTTTGTTAAAGAACAGATATTGGCTTGGTGCAGTGGCTCACGCCTGTAATCCCAACTCTTTGGGAGCCCAAAGCAGGAAGATTGCTTGAAGCCAGGAGTTCAAGACCATCCTGGCCAATATAGTGAGACCCCCATCTCTATTTAAAAAAAAAAGAAAGAAAAGGCCGGGTGCAGTGGCTGATGCCTGTAATCCCAGCACTTTGGGAGGCCAAGGCGGGCAGATCATGAGGTCAGGAGATCGAGACCATCCTGGCTAACACGGTGAAACCCTGTCTTTACCAAAAATACAAAAAATTAGCTGGGCGTGGTGGCGGGCACCTGTAGTCCCAACTACTCGGGAGGTTGAAGCAAGAGAATAGCTTGAACCCGGGAGGCAGAAGTTGCAATGAGCTGAGATCGTGCCACTGCATTCTAGCCTGGGCAACAGAGTGAGACTTTGTCTCAAAAAATAAAAAATAAAAGAAAAGCTATTGCACTTCCAGAACCTGATCTTTATTGTAAAGCCCAATCACTTGTTCAGGATGAAATGAGACTAACTTGTCTGTAGGAACACCCCCACCTGACACAACCTAAAATCTGTCTTCCAAATAAAGATCACACAGCATTCTCTTGATCCTACATTTCAGGGAACATCTGTAATAACCTCTTAGAGCCAATCCTGGATGAAGTGGTAAGTAAAATGCAAATTGATTTCACAGGTTCTTTACTCCACTTTGCTCCCTTACCATGCCTCTCACTGCTCCCGCCTCCCCCAGCCTACCTTGCTATATCCCATCAAGTCCCCCAGGAGCACCTTCTATTTCTGATCTTTGCTTTTGTATTAGTTGCCTACTGCTGGATAATAAATCTTTCCCAAAATTTGGTGGCTTAAACCATGAATTGTTATTTCTTATGGTTTCTGTAGGTTAAGAATCCTGGGGTGAGGTAGGCACAGTGGTGCATACCTGTAGTCTTAACTATGTGGGAGGCTGAGTTGGGAGGCTTGTTTGGGCCCAGGAGGTCAAGTCCAGCCTGGGCAATAAAGTGACACCCTATCTCTAAAGACCATTCATGGTGGTGTACGCCTGTAACCCCAGCACTTTGGGAGGCCAAGAAGGGTAGATCACCTGAGCCCAGTAGTTTGAAACCAGCCTCTACCAAAACAAAAAATTAGCTGGGTGTCGTGGCACATACCTGTACTCCCAGCTACTCGGGAGACTGAGGTGGAAGTATCACTTGAGCCTGGGAGGTTGAGGCTACAATGAGCCAAGACCATGCCACTGTACTCCAGGTTGGGCGACAGAGTGAGACTCTGTCTCAGAAAAGAAAAAAAAAAAGAAATGTGAAGAATCGTGAAGCAGCTTGACTGATTTGTTCTGGCTTAGAGTATTTCGTGAGATTGTAGTCAGGTGTTGGCTGAGGCTGCGGTCATCTGAAGCTGTGACTGCAGGTGGAGGATCCATTTCCAAGGTGGCTTCTCCCATGGCTGGCAGTTGGCAAGAGGCTGTAGTACCTTTGCATGTGGGCCTCTCCATGGAGCTACTTGAGCATCCTTACAGCAT